GTGTGTGTGTGTGTGTGTGTGTGTGTGTGTGTGTGTGCGTGCGTGTGTGTGTGTATGTGTGTGTGTGTGACTGTATTATTGCGAGTGAGCAATGGTTCTTCAGTAAGTGCAGGTGAGTGCATGGTTGCGCATGTGAAAAATAAAAGGGTCTGGCTAAATCGGGATGGCTCATTGTGGGTGGGTGTAAGTGTAAGTGTTTTTGGTTTTTGTTTTGTTTTGGTTTCTGAGAAATACTTTCTGACCGCACGCTTTCAGCACACTGTGTGTGGCATTTGTTTAACTTGTATTTTCCTAACCTCTTCTCACCTCTGGAAATGTCAGATTGTTTGACTGACGTGACCTTTGAACTGGTTGATTTAATACCCCTGCCATCCTATATAATTTGCCCGACAATTCTGCATGACTCTGTGTTTGTCCCATTTTTTTACCAGGTTTGTAGCATTCTATTACAAAAAGGTATCTGTTCGCACACACACAAACACACACACATGATAATGTCGTTGACCTAAATACTAGAAACAGTACTTTGGAGATTATTTTCAGCTGGTGAACTCTGCTGTTTGCGGATGTATTCGTTTGGGGGATTCTTTTTGTGTGTGTGTGCGTTGGTTTGTTTTTTGTTTTTTGTTTTTGTTTTGTTTTTGGTTTTTTTGTTGTTGTTGTTGTTGTGTTTTTTTGTTGTTTTTTTTTTTTTTTTTTGGGGGGGGGCGTTTTTTTGGTTGTTTTTTGTTTTGTTTTGTTTTGGAGGGGTTTTCACCTCCACTATAATGTATATCCGTGCTGGCGCTGGAAGCAAGCTTTGTTTCCGGTCAGAAATTATGTGCTGCTGACACGACCCCCTTTTCTTTCATCCTCTGGCACTTGCCGACAGATGTTTGTTTGTCTTTCTGTTTGTCTGTTTGTCAGTGTCCGTCCAGCCTGCTAGTTTCGTGGGTGGTTGGATGGCGCCACTGGTAAGTCTCTGTAGTTTCTGTCTGTCGTGTCTTTCTTTTTCCTAGCACTAAATGACCATTATTCTGTCGATGTGCTTCTCTGTATTCAGACAAAAGCCTACCTGTTTATCTTGCCAGTTCCATGACTCTCTATATCTGGACGCTTATTGATCTTTACAGTTAGAGGCAGGAATCAAAATTGTCAACCTTTTTTTAAAAAATGCAGACAATGGCAAACAAATTTTTCTCTGTTAAACAGTAGGAGAGTGATCAATGTTGCAGAAAGAAGAATGTTAAGTACCTGGAATCAATAGGCCTAAGAAGTAAATTAGTCAAGTTCAAAACTTAACTGGCAGTTTCGGAATAGTCGTATACAATGACAACTAAAACAGTTATGTATGGAATTGACTATAATATGGAGTAAAGAACCGCGAAATAATATCCTAAAAATCAGTATGAATATTTTCCTTATTTTTGGTTGATAAAAGTCCTTCAACCAGCAGTACTTTAGCATGTGCACCTAACAATGCCCC